CAGTCTTATCAAGGCAGATAAGGTTTTATTCAGGAAATCTAGGAATACAGTATCATCATGCTACTTGCAGCACTTCAAAAAGAATAGAGGGTTTAATTATTAAATATCTATGTATTTCAAAAACAGAAGCATTTGGCAGATTCAGACTAGATTTTTTGATGAGGTAAGAGATATATAATGAATAGACAGAAGGTGGAAGCAACCTCATACCTACTGGACATTTGATTTTGGGACACCTTAAATGACTATAGTAATTCTAATCAAATCACTCTTACCCGCCATCTGTTTGTGCAAGTACCCTAAACCCCCCAGGTCAGCCCCTCCTGCACAGCAGTGTATCAGGGCTACAGAGATGGTGGGGCTGGCTGGGACAAAGCTGCCTTACTGGGAAGACCCTGCTGATGTCGGAGGCAGAAACTGGGACCGGGCTGGGCTTCACACCACCCCAGAGACCCAGAATCCAATCACCCGTCCCCCAGACTTGCAGGAAACACCCAGAGGCAGAACAGGTAAATCTGGTCACATGACTAGCGACCACAACTTTACTTCGGAGGTCAGAACTCGGAACTGGGAATGACATCACACCCAAGGTAACCGCATTCCAGTAAAACAAGTTGGAAAGATGTTTCAAAAAGCAAGATTTCTTGCTTAGCTGTATAACTTGTCTATTTAATTTACCCCAGCTTAAATTACCTTTATCTTTGTTCACTTACATTTAGCCCAGAGTACCTTAAATCCAACAAATAATCCAGCTGCACAAGAAATCCTGCTTTTTGAAAGAGGCAGTAGTTGAAGCCCAGTTAAATGTTAGCCATTGTTAGCAATATCAGTGGATAACAACACATTACATGATATTTTGCACGCAAACATGACGGTTTGACAGTACTGTGTGTACGACTGATTTAAAGAGTCACAAATAAGATGTAAGTACTAATAAACAGTAAAAAACTACGGATTTAACTTCTGCTGACAAAGGACGCAGCCATCTTGAATTCTGAGGGCGGCGCTGCAGAGATTCCTCCAAGTCCACGAGTAGGAATTCCGACTTCAAGGGGCGTTCCACTTGAAATTTCCGATCAGGAACTCAGAATTTCGAAGCATTACGCACATCAGAATCTGTCCCTCGGGGACTTGCAGTCAGGGCATCAGTCCTGTTTCATGCCAACAGTAAAGCATCCTGAGACCATTCATGTGTGGGGTTGCTTCTCAGCCATCGGAGTGGAATCACTCACAATTTTGCCTAAGAACAAGAATGATACTAAAACATCATCCGAGAGCAACTTCTCCCAACCATCCAAGAACAGTTTGGAGATGAACGATGCCTTTTCCAGCATGATGGAGCTCCGTGCCATAAAGGAAAGTGATAACTAAGTGGCTCAGGGAACAAAACATCAACATTTTGGGTCCATGGCCAGGAAACTCCCCAGACCTTAATCCCAATGAGAACTTGTGGTCAATCCTCAAGAAAAACCCACAAACTCTGACAAGCTCCAAGCATTGATTATGCAAGAATGGGCTGCCATCAGTCAGGATTTGGCCCAGAAGTTGATTGACAGCATGCCAGGGTGAATTGCAGAGATCTTGAAAAAGAAGGGCCAACACTGCAAATATTGACTATTTGCATAAACTTAATGTAATTGTCAGTAAAAGTTTGGCACTTATGAAATGCTTGTAATTATACTTCAGTATACCACAGAAATATCTGACAAAAAGATCTACAAACACTGAAACAGCAAACTTTGTGAAAACCAATACTTGTGTCATTATCAAAACTTTTGGCCATGACTGTATGTTACTTATATACATGGACATAATTAAAAGCAAAAGCAATTAATTTATAGCTTTGGTTTCATAAGCAAAAAATGTATTGTGTATTCTTCGTCCTTAACCCCATTTTTATAATCTGTGTCATAATAACAATTTGCTTATTGCAAGGAAAATGTAGAAACTATAATCAAAACTTTGTCTTTTGTAAGTTGATCTTAGGCGGGGGGAGAGAGTGACACCTGCTGGACAGAGGATATCGTGCTTCACTGTTATCCAATGTTGGTGTAAGGCTGCCCTCTACTGTGAACCTTGTCTACTACAGACCTTGTCTTTACACATATGGTTTGACGTCACCCTAATAATTACGTTTCATTTCACTTATTTAGCAAATACTTTTATCCAAAGCAATGTGCAACTCAGAGCAGGGACACTTAGTCCCTGGAACAATCGGGGTTGAGGGCCATGTTGAAGGGCCCAATGGTGAAATAACTTTGCCAACAAGGGGATTTGAACCAATGACCTTCCAACCCACCAAGCCACACAGAATCCATTTATAACCCTCACCCACAACATACTCTGTTTGGCTCATAAAAATGTTAAACTAACGCATTTTTGTTGATGATCTTTGTGATTTTTAGCTACTATCTCATTTTGTTCCCTATACCTCCACTCTTCACTGGAAAATGATCCAAGATTTTAAATGTTTCATTGGCCATGTGCACAAAGTGCTTTGGAATCCACACCCAGTTCAAGAACTATCAGCATATAAACTAATAGCAATAGACATGCAATAGTGCAGTGTAAACAACAGGACAATTCACATAAAGTGCAGATGCAAGTACTATACTGTAACAACACTTCAGATTTAGCTGTTGATGATGATGATGATGATGATGATGATGGCTGGGGGAAAGAAATCTGTGAATGCTATCTATGTATTTCAAAAGCAGAACCATTTGGCAGATTCAGACCAGATTTTATCACATTTTGATTAGGTTAGAGGTACATAAAGAATAGAAAGAAATTAGAGAAATATTCTCTGCACATTTCCATTCACTGAAGAGGAAGGACCTCGGGTGGAAGCAACCTCAGACCTGTTGGACATCCGATTTTGGGACACCTTAAATGAGAAGTACAGTGCCTCACTGTGTGGGGTGGCAGCTGCACTGTGGCGGAGAAGGAGGCGCTACAGAGGGCGGTAAAATCTGCCCAGAGGAACGTCGGCTGCAGCTTACCACCCATCGGGGACATTTACATCATCAGATGCAGGGAAAAAGCCTCCTGCATCATTCATGACCCCACCCACCCTGCACATGAACTGTTCACCCCCCCTGCCGTCGGGATGGAGGCTGCACTGCATCCGACCAAAAACAACCAGACTGAGAAACAGCTTCTATCCAGCTGCAGTCAGACGTTTGAACTGCTCCACCTCCCAAGTACATTTTGCACTATAATTACTTGCCTCTTACCCTTGAAATTGCACTGATCACTTGAAGTCACTGCTGCCATACTGTACATTACTTTTTAATTTTTACTTCAGAGGTTTTACCTTGGCTCATTTCATTTCCAGTTCAGATATTTCACTCTAGCATTTTACTATTTATTGTTTAGTAGCACGCTGCACGCACCGAGACCTGACCACCTGTGTTTTGTTCTAATCATGTCAAGTGGTTTGAATGACAATAAAGCTGATTCTGATTCTGAGATGGGTTCAGTAATTCTAATCAAATCACTCTGAGAGTGAGCAATTAATTAGGCCTGTTCATTTACTGTGGATCAATGTTCACGCACATTGGCAAATGTTTCTCGCATATATTGTGGTTATATTCATGTAAAATGTTCAGTAACACAATGTTGTACATATAAAAAGATTAAAAAAATTAAAAAAAACCCAAGGCCTTATAAACAGCATAGTCACTATTATGTCAGACTGGCATTGTGACAAATGTTTATCCCAACTTAATCATAAAAGCGTCGTTGTTGTTTATGCGTTTGAAAATTTTGGACAGTCAGTTACTATAACAAAATGCAATATACAAGAAATGCAACAGATTCCATGATTTTATTCAGAATGAATTTTTAAAAATCAGTCTATTAATTTATTACACACACAACCATGCAGGACTGTGTGGGTGGGAACCACATTGAGATTGTTTAGTTTCTATTATAGTTCTGCTCCAGCATTTTTTTCCCCATTTATTCCTAATTCCAGCATCTGCATCTGAAATAGTTTTCTGAACGATAGTTCACACTCTGAATGAAATTCAGCCAAATTCCACTATTTAACAAACTACAGCTCTCACTAGAAACAGGAAATTATTTGAATGACTCCTGGTTATATTGTGTCTTGCACATTAACTGCTTAAGTCTGACATCTATCCTTCCAACAAATCTTTTTAATTAGGTGATGCATTACCCAAGACCTATGGTTTCCTCATCACAATTAGACATAAAATGTACCAAAGCAAGTACCATGTGAACAAGAGCTGCAAAAAGATCATTCGGATATCTGAAATATTTTGATAAATTTAGTAGTATTTATAAGACAAAATTGACCCAAAACACATTAATATAGTCAGAGGCTCTTGAACTATTTCAGTTGTCAGACAGGCCCCTACTATTTTGTGATGGTGTGGTTCTTCACCACAGGGGATAAAATATAGAATTTGACATGGGGGAAGGAATCCTCAAGAACAGAATTTAAAAACTACTTGGGGAAAGGGGGGCATAAGGATTAAGTTTTATTTTAGCTTGGACACACAAAATACAGGATGAATCATATCGTGTACTGGTTCAAAACCGGTCAGTCCCATAAAATATATGGGTGGCAACTACAAATTTAAAATGACACTAAACAAGGTGAGTTGAGGCCCGGGGCTTCAGCTTGGGGAAGCCTGTGCATTAAAGCACCCCAGGTCACAACCTAGCAGATTTACACAGTCCTTCTGGTGTGATAGTTTCATGTGTACAGTACATCATGCAGGCCTACTGCAAACAATGCTTAGTCAAACTTGACTCCCTTTAATTTTTTTCAGGCTACTCTTTGCTGTCACTTATAATGAACTAACCTGGGGTGGATGGGAAGATTTTTTTTTTGTGTCAGTTTAAAGTGGGCATTTAGCATGCCCTGAAACCAGTCCTTTGATAAAACACACATTACCAGACAAGCTTTTTTCTCAGCCTTTTGTACAGGAGACACTAACTTTTAAAACAATCAAACCAAACCAAAAAAGTCATGTTCTTTTTTTTTATTCATGAAAATGACTTTCCTCCAATATTTCCAAAAATATTTCATGAAAACACAAAAAACATATAAGTTTTAAACTAATTCAAAGTTTGCATCATAAATGTCAATTGGGAAGGATTTTACTTTTAAAAATGTTAATTCTGCTGTTCCTAACTGATTTACCTTCATAATGCTGCTGTTTGGATTCAAAACATTATAACAAAGGGAACTTCAATCCCATTTCTTTTACAAATATTTTAGCTGCCTTATGATGTTTGGTATTTAAAACTGCATTTTAAAAACCAAAATGTAGGTTAAAAATCGTAACATTCAGCAGTTTAACTGATTTAGAAAGGGCACGACATTCTGAGAGAATAAGGACGGAGTTTATATGACAATGGCATTAAAAAAAGATTAGAACACGATAGACCCCTTTACACACGTTTCAATACATCAAATGTAACTAACGATAGAACTAAAAAGGGCATTTTTATATAAAACTTGGTAAAAAATAGTTATTTCAAACTGTACAGTCACCAAGTACATAGAATGCTCAAAAATTCAAAAAACACTGTTCATTTGGTGTCCCCAGCAGCCTCCACCTTCTGTGCCTGGAAAATACAAGGCTTCTGTCACATGTGACATCAATTACAAAGCATTTAAGGTCTACCTTTGCAAGCCTGACAAACAAAGAGAAGGGTGACATATGACTATTCTTCCCAATTGATTACATGGTGTTCAAAAGCAAAAAGGAGACCCTGAGAATGAACTTGGGAAACAGCTCCTTTAACACTGAGCCACTGACGACGCTATGAATGCTTATGGTCTGGATGCAATAGAAGCTACACATGCACGCCTTGGAAATGAAGCATACCTGGTCTATCTTGGCATCTCCATTTTCAGCGGGGTTGTCTTTGCCCTTCTTTCCTTTGGGCGCCTTCTGTTAATTAGAACACAAACATCACACAAACCTAGTGATTCCTATTTGGCACATGGCTTCTGTGGAAAAACACCCAAATTCCCAGACTCTCTCCCCACTCCACCCGCACACCACACTGCATCACCGGGGACCATTAAAACTAAGCACAGCCTCACCTTGGGTGCAGCCTTTTTCGGCTTGGGTGCCGGTTTAGGGGCTGTAGGTTTCTAATGAAGATACAAAAGGTACAGGGGTTAGGAGGTGAGGGACGAGGCAAGTGATGCACAGTCATGGGAGGATGCATGACAAAACAGTAGGAGGGTACTTACAGCTAACAACCTCGCAGAGCGTCTGGGCTGCAGGATGGAAGGAAACAAAAAAGTATCAGTAACTGAACACCGAAGGGGTCGGGGCACAGAAAACCCCACCATTTGGCCACACAAACCAGACAGAGAGCACACAGATCAGTGCGAAGACACAAACCTCTTCCTTGGTCTTGGATGTCTTCTCTCCATCAAGCTGCAAAGGAAGTAAAAGAAACTTTAGTCCAACGCACAGGTGCAGCCACTGCAAAAGGAGAAAAATAGTACCTCCATAATGCCAACATCGCCCTAAATCACTTGTTTAATATGAAATAGACTACATTATACACAATAAATGATCCTTATGGATCATGGCTGCTGTCTGCATCTGTCAGTCAGCTAATTAAAAAATTTAGACACAGGCCCTCAAAAAAAATCATAGTGCATAGTTACCATATTATTTATTAAATCGCATTAATGTAGATAAAGTGCCTTATTCACGCAAATCTCGCGGAACTGCAGCGCGGGAACGCGCTTCCGCGTCGCCGACGGCGCGCTTAACGGTTAGACGGCAGTGAGTCTCCCGCGCAGATTCAAATTCAAAATTGCGCTATAGCGCCGCCGGCGCGCTTCCCCCGCTCGCTGACAGAACAAGGCGCGCTCACGAAGCGCCGGGGCTGCCAGCAAGAAGGAGGCGCGGTTCTAACGGCGAGCAGCGCAGCCGCCCTCTCCCGGAGCCACTTCTCCGCAACGTTTGTAATTTTTAATCCCCCGGTCGCCCTCTCCCGCAGCCCCATCCGAATTCCCCAGTCCATTTCCCCGCAACGTTTTGGTCCACTAGTAACCCCAGGGCCGCCTTCCCCCACAGCCCCGTCCGCGTCCCCGCACCGTTTCTGTCCATTTTTATCCCCGTGGCCGCCTTCTCACACAGCCCCGTCCGCGTCCCCGCACCGTTTCTGTCCATTTTTAACCCCGCGGCTGCACACAGCGTCCCGTCCTTCCCCATCGCCGATATTAGCATCCAGCTGGCCGGGAAGGTCATGCAAGGAAACCGCCCACTTTTAAAGGCGACAAAGGCGCATAAGCTGTAACGTCTCCGACATTATTTATTTGGCTATATGACAAACGACCCCACCATACACATTAAAAAAAAAAAAAAAACAGGTATTTTATTTTTCAAATCAGAATTGCCTTTATTTTTTTGTGTGGCTTATGAGCATTTATTAGCCACTAATTTGCAGAGGTAACAACCTATTTAACGGAAGACTTCGCGCCTGTGTAAAGATTATTTTCGCTACATAATGAGGTGGTAGCTCGCATGGAGCTGGGCGGACATGACAAGCTAACGAACACAACAATAACAAAGATGGCAGCTTAACGTCTGGAGGGAAGTGGCCGTGAAAGACCGAGGCGGGCACCGTCCGCGACTTTTTAAAAAAAAAAGTTGCCCAACATACTGAACAAACTCAAATTTCTGCCATAAAATTCTATACATATACGATAAACGCAGCGGTCACCTTGTTTTAAACGCTAATGCAAATGCACAACAAATTTGATGAATTTAAAAACACCTCACTGCTAGTTATGTTGTCTGCAAAATATTATTACATTGAAAAAAATCATTTTAATTGCCTGCAAAGACATTGATTTCAGCTATTTTAGCCGAGGCTGAATGCTGAAACAAATTGGCGCCGGCGCCATCGCTCTCGTAGGGACAGCTTGTAGCCTACGAGCCGGACTGCTGTCACTCAGCCTCACGGAGCCCGCCAACGCCGAGGTGCAGTCGACTGCTCGGCCGCGAATCACGCAGAAATAACTACAGAGCAGCATCACCGACTAGATTCCCAAAAAGCGCCGTTCTACACCCAAAAATAAATGCCGCCGCGAAGCGACAGAAATGCTGCGTTTTACAGCGTTGCAAAGTAAAGTGTCCTGAGTACGTAAGAGAAAAAAACTTCACTGCTTTGTACATAATGTCAGAAATAACTACAGCGAGGTGCTTCGCAGCATAAAAAGTGCATTAAGTTACAAGCCATTTCCCTACCTTTCTCTTAGGCATGTTGACCGTCTGAAGTAGGACGAAAATTCAACGAAGGGGAGTAGGCTCTTTCACCGCCACAGATATCACTGCGCCAGCCGATGGTGGCTAAATGTAAAATAATAACGGCTGTATGTTTTATAAAGTTTTTATATAGAAATATAAGATGGAAACCGGTTCAAACCAGATTTCACATTCTGCGCACAGCCATTGGACACAAACGGCATTACGTGCTCAGGGGAGTCGCTCATTTCTTAAAGAGACAGAGACACCGCGCCTTTCGCGGACTTCAGAAGATTTTGCAGGACCGCCGAATTCGTGCAATTGAAGGAAATACTAAACTAACTTGGTTTTGAATGTGAAACGTATTTTAAATCTAATTTTTAATATATTTAATCTAGCTCGTCAAGTTTGAATTTTCACGGCCGAACTCCAAGAGTCGTTTTCTTGCATAATTTTATAATTTCATTGGCGGTAATATTTAAGGACAAATCATTTGTATCATTGTTCAGAAAAACGAGGGTGAAATTATAGATTGTAGATGTGTATGCGTGAAATATTAATTGCATACACTAGCTTTATTTTACTTGTTTTCAGTTTATTACAAGAAAACTGAATTATGTCCCTGGGCTCGATGAAAAATACCCAAAATAAAGATATTTTACAATTACACCAACACTTATGGCAGACAAAAACAAGCAATTAATCACATTAAACGTTCTGTCATACCACAAAATGCACAAGTAGTCCAATTAGGATCTAGTGTGACAGCTGCACAATGTAACAGCTTCATCCCCAACTCAAACACAGTTCCAAGCTTTTAATTCTGCTCGAATGTCATTGATCATATCTACAGGTGAGAGCTAACCAATATTAAAAGTCCAAAATGGTTACCTCGTCCCACAGAAGTGTCTTGAATTGTGACCAGTATGACAATGCACAGTCTGCAGTGTATGATACAGAATTTCAATGAAGGACAGTATTTACCAGAGAACATCGTTAGAGTTTCCAGCACTTGGGAACCAGTCTCAAATGTAGCTGTGTTTGTATAAATGTTATAGGGATATTGACAGGGTTCCTGTAAATCTGACTTTGATAATACAATTCCCCATAGGGGTAAAACCACAGTTGAGTCATCTGGTAAGTACTTTCTGACAAAATACAAAATAACTGCCAATTTCCCACAACCTGCAAGTACTTGAGAATGGACTTATCCTTCATATCTTCTGGACTATGCAAGAACAGCCTGGCTGGTTAAGTCTGTGAAGAAACTGTCCTTCTTATGCTGAAGTGCACTGAGGAAGCCTTGTATCCTCTGGTCCCGGTCCACTGCGTAGCTCAGCAGAAGGTCCTGTCTGTTGCAGGCCTCAGCTGGCCTTGCACTCCCATGTTGCTGCAGAAGTTCTGCTACACAGCTGCAGTCTGCCTCCAGCTGCTGCCGGGCTTGCTCCTCGTGGTGCTGGTCCCGTGCTTTCTGCAACGTTTCATAACTGTGGTTTACGTATAGCCGCCACCCTGCAGGCTCAGGACAAAGCAGTGGCACAGTGGTGGCATCTAGGTACCAGGCATAAGTAAATGCAGTGAAGTGTCGCTGTTCAAGCATGCACTGCACACCATACCTGACCCACTAAAATCACCAGCATTTGTTTAGCCCAGAATTAAACTTTTTACATTTAAATATTGAGACCTGCATCTGGGTAGATTTTTGACTCCTCGGCACAATAGGTGCGTTACACACATACCGATGTACAGCCCGCATCTAGAAACCTCCCCACAAAGCTTAAACTTGATGAGTCATAAGCGACATTGCACTCACCCACAATTACCCTGCTTGCCTTTGTTTTCCACCTCAGTTTAAAAATCTTAGACACACATTATACTACATTTCTCCGAGTACAAACTAAACCAAACAATAAGATTATACTATATACATTAGTGTATACACCTGCCTCTTATTACGAATGTGCTCCAGATATTAAAATGACTAAAGTTTCTACCCAGACAATTAAAAATGTACATACAGAGTGTGAACAATGAGATGGAATGACAGATTACTTTCGTAAGACTGTGACCTTATTTAATGCAATCTTAGAAGTATAACTAGTTTGAGATGAGTTGATAAACTGTTAAATACCAACATAAGTAGGAATAACTGCATGTAAAGTGGCAGGAGACCCTACCTGAAGGGGCCAGTAATTGAGCTGGTACTGCAAGATTGCCTCACAGAGGTTCCAGAAGGAATATTCAGGCCATAAGACAGACTGGAACACCAGGCAAGAGTAGGAAGTCTACGGGATGGACAAGAACTCCGTCAACTTTGACTTAATGACGCACATAAGCATGTCACATGTGAGGCAAGACGGCACATACACATGTGCTTGGCGTGTCAGGGACAGAGGAAGCAGTGACACGCACCTGCCAAAGCAGGAAGTCGCTGAGGCGTAGCTCCCCTGAGGTACGGATGAGCAGGTCAGGGTCAGGGGAGCCACTGCTATACAGGCACTTGCTTAGCAGAGACTCTGAGACGTCACTGGGCAGAGGATATGTTATTCGGGAAGTCAGTCACACCCTGCCAGCTACCATTTATTAACTAATAATTTAAAATCAATCCTGCTCTGCATAGCTGGGACCATGTATTTCACTGTGCAATCTCTTAATGTGAAGATTCTTTTGCAACTTTCCTAATAAACATTCAGTCAATTATAGTCAGTGGCTTTTATTTATAATACTAAATACAGTAAAAGCACTTTTATCTGGGCTTAAAGTAACTGGCACATTCAAATAACTGGTAGTGATGTAGTCAACACCTAAAGTGAGACCAAGTTATTACCAAGACCAAGGCTTATAATAAATTATAAATATTTTCTTAACACTTTCTATGAAGCCCATTTTCATAAAGCCTAATAATGGTTCTTATAATTCATTGTAACATTCATAAATTATTATAGACACGGTTATAAATATTTACAAAAAGACAAGACATACCCATGTTTCTCATGCATTATGAATGTTCTATGAAGGTCTCATCTATATTGCCATATGAATACCTTCATAATGAATAATAATGGTCAGTATAACAATTAAGAATGCACTGTGCTGCATTATGAAGGTATTTATAGTGCATTATAGATGAGACTTTCATGGAGCATTAACAATGCATAACACATAATGGGTTATGCTTTTTATGAATAGTTATAGCTGTGTTTATAATGCTTTATTAATGTATTATAATGCATTATGTTTTAAGTGTTACCAATATTTATTTCCCAGAACAGTAATGCATGTATTATTGTGGATGTAAATATGCACTTTGTTTTCCCATCTAATGCAAATATCATCGATATTTTATGGAATATTAGAGATGCTTTTTGTGGGAAATGTTTGAAATATACACCTCATTATGCAAATAATTACTCTGGAATATCTTAGCGCACAACGCTGCAACCTGGGTGACCTGATCAAGTAAGTTCAATTGCAAAGATTCATGTCTGTGCGTTATACTTATCCAAAGTTACGAGCCTGAGATTAATTGGTGCAAAAATCAATGCATCTTGTGTTTGTCAGGTTCTCAGGGTTAACAAACATGAATATTAAGCAATTGTGATAAATATTGAGATGTTTTAATGAGTGGTCTTGACTGGTCTCAAAATAAAACCTCGAGTCCTCTATGTTTGAGACAAGACAAGACAAAGTCAAGTCAATTCTGAGACGAGACCAAGACCGTGAAAAAGTGGTCTCAGGCTGTTCTCAAAACCAAGACCGGTCTCAAGTACTAAAACACCAGTAACTGGACAAATTGAAAAATATCAGTATAAAATGTAAAAGTCCTAAAAAAATAAAAGTATTAACACTAAACAATAAAAAACTACCCTAAACTAAAAATAAAACAAAGAAAACCACTGTGCAATACAAATGTCAGTTTCAGTGCATTCCCATGGAGAGGCATGGTTTTGTAATCTTTCTGTTATCGTTTACCTCACGATATCTTGTATTGTATCAAACAGTTTAATAATCATTAGTGTGCATGCATCAAAAGATTAAAGTTTAAGAAAAGTGTTATAATTCTGTGTTTTTCCAAAGTATTCTATTACAGTACGTATACAAGAAATTCAGCTATCTGGCAGTGCCTTGGTCTGGATGTTGCCAGATATGAAAACTTTTACTGTATATGCACACACATGGGCAAGTGTACACACACACGTTCAACATTTTTTACGTATTCCTATACTGCAAGCTTCCACCCCCACAGCCTACACTAAAGACTACTGAAGAATACCTGGATTTTATCAAGCCCTGCTCCACACCCCAGGCCATCTCCTTCACAGCATTTGTGATCTCATGTCTGGAGGTATAAGCGAAACAGACGTTCAGGAAGCACCTGCTCAAGAAGAAAAGGAAAAATCGAAAGACAGGAAGCAGCATTAATGGAGATGATCAACGTGTAGACCCTGATGGAAATACCTTAAATCTCATACAGGCAATGGAAAAACCAATCAGAGGAAGATTACTCTACAAAGTAACCATATCAACGGCAGCTGTGGGGTTTGACTATCAGATATTATTGTTCTCATACTTTGTCGTATGATGAGAGTCATTTGAAGGGTGTTACATTCTTACCACAGTGGATATTGGTTTTTCATTTTTCGGTAAGAAAACACCAACTCTGGCATATAGCAACAATCCCAGAGCACTGTATTTTTAACTGTACAAATCTTATATGTATTTATAACATTAATGGAGAAAGGTGGGTCATCAACTGTGATTCATAAATTTTCCAAATATCATCTTTCAGTGCAAAAACTTTTTTTTTTTTCCGCTGTCAAATGTTCTGAAATATTTGTGTTTAGCAATAGCGGAGTCAGAAATCATAGAGTGGGTGGGCCGGGAGAAAATCAGGTTGGCCAGACCCATAACTTGCGACAAATGTTCGCATTACTGATGGAGTACTGCAGCCTTCATTACTGAAATGGATTTGTTTTTTCAGAAACTTCAAACTCATTTGCTGTGTTGAAATGTTTACTACTAGATCTCCCTCGTGAAATGTTAGCAGAGCGTTGTTTGTAAAACGCATTTTTTAATTTTCAGTTTTCACCAACATTAAAATAATTCGACATAACAGACATTTTTTCTAACTGTTTAGTAATCGGGTGTGCAAAGCAATATTGGTCACCATATTAAATGGCATTATGAGTGGAATTTTAAAAAATTGGCCGATGGCCTATAGTTGCTGTACTGGCTAATACTGGTAGTTCACCAATACAATAAGTTAGGGCTATTCAACTCAGGCCCTCGATTCCAAATCCAGGCCTTGTTTTCAGTTTTCCCAGGTAGTTAGTATAATAATTACTGATTCTGATTGGTCAGAGGCTTCACACCTGGCTTACAGGTGAAGGAAGGCTGGAAAAATCAGCAGGGTTCAGCCCTTGAGGACAGTGAGTTGAATAGCCCTGCAATAGGTGCATCCCTAAACAAGATGAACACCACTTCAGTTCCCAAACCTCTCCTCAGGGGCACCCCAGCCGTTCCACATATTCCTTAAATTTCACCACCAGCTCAATTAATTCATTAATTTAGTTAGTTATTAATCAACTCAATGAACCACTGATTAGCCAAACATGGTGGGCTAGTGCTCGGGTCAAAAAAATACATGGGTGTTGTTTGACAGCTGCTGCCAATATAGGGGTGACTTTAGGAAAGGTTTTCAAATGGCTTAGCTGACATACCGACAGACAAAAATCATAGATTTACACAAACATGAAAATCATTTAAACATCATTTTCTTTGACTGCCTAAGACTTTTGCACAGTACCGTATAAATATAAATAATTACAGCCACGGAGAAGATCCCCAGGCCGTACTGGTGTGCTGGGAATCCGTAGAGGTGCCTACTTGTTGTGTGTCCGGGTGCCCACCACGGCCTGGGCGATGAGCTGCTGGAGGTCCAGCGGCAGCAGGGTCAGGTCTCCTAACACTCGGATGCACACGCCATGCTTCTCCAGATTCCCCCTGGGACGTGGGAGACGGGGGTCACGTTTGAGACCTTGTTTTTCTGGAGTGAGGTAGACGACTTTCTGACAAGCATCTCCCACACCGTACACACAGACAAAAGGCACTGACCCACAGTGGCTAGATTCCAGGTTATTCTACTGTGCTCATACATACTCCACGTTGTCCAAGAAAATTCATACACTAATAATAACCTGCATGTTCACGTATGCGAAACAATGACAGCGGTAATTTAGGATATGCATTTATTGTCGTCTTCAAAAAGACTCCGAGTCCAATCCTTCTAATCCATGGTCCCCTAATACTCACTGTTCCTCCAAAAGCTTCTTAAACTTCTGCCTGGCCAGCTCCATCAGACCTTCCACCTCCTCTTTGGAACGCTTGAAGTTCTCAATACTGAAGGCATACACCGTCACCTCCCGAATGTCCAGGTTTAAACACCAGCGCAGGGTCTGCAGAGTGCAGAGTAACGCAATCAGATTTGTGTGCTTGAAAAGCAACTACAGGAGGCAGGGCAGAGCTTGGATCTATGACCATGGGGCAGATAGGTCTGGTCAGCAGATGGGCAGCAGACTGTCGGTTTTCGTTGTTTCCCCCGCTCTGTTGAATAGGTCATTTTATGAGCTTGGATGTATGCAAGGTATAAATTAACTGCCAATTAAAAGTTAACTGACAAATAGGGTGGATATTAGGAGCAGAGCAGGTTTCCATGCAATCAGGAACAGTCAAATGACTCCGGGTTTTGTATAACAGCACCTCACCTCAGCCAGCTTGTCGAATCCCTGAGTATGCCCCTCCTGGCGCTCCACATGGCACTTGCGGGCGTAACGCCGGTTACCATCCATGATGAAAGCCACATGCTTAGGCATTGGACCAGCCTACAAGAGCAGATGTGATAAAATGATGATACTGCTTTATTTTCCATTTGCATAAGTACGAGTGCAGGTACAATAGAAATCCATCAAATCCCATCATCTCTCATTTTGAGACTCTCACGCACAAGCCCAGGGTCAGCACAGGATCAGCCGTTTATCCGACACCCCTGGAGAATTTATGGGGGGTTTGGGCCCAATGGACATGTGACTATTCTGCCAAAGATGGGATTCAAACGAGTGACTTCCCTGCCAAGCCCACTGCGTCACACACTGGGATGCAGGATGGACAGGTGAAAAAGACATTAGTGTCTCATCTCTGATGACGGAAACTGAGGGCAGACTTTGACCCGTCCAAATGAAAACTTAATTTTTTTAAAGTGTGGTACCAAGACAGAGGTTTAGAAAGCCAATGGAACTCGTTTTCCACTATGATTTTTCCAGGTTGACTGTGTAAGAACGCTACGACATGCAAGACAGCAGGGCATATTCGTGTCTGAAGAACAAACCTTCAGTATATTAGCAGTGAGCTTCTCAATGAAGCTCAGCTCTCCCTCACGGATCCATGACATTTTGTGCTTCAAGATGTCCCTGTCAAAATAAAAAAAAAAAAGTTGATGTTGAGTCTCCTCATCAGTTGAGCCAAGCGCAAAACATAAAAACCATTTCATAAGTAGGACATTGAAACTAAGTGTGATACAGCTTTCAAACGTGTTGCAACCGGTTCTGAAATTGTCCAAAGGAAACATGACTGGTAAAATACTGAGAATGGCGATCTGCCTGATGTCAGTTCTGCTCAAAGCTTCCACTTCCATGACCACACCAAACCCCTTACAGCTCACGCTACCTTTTTCTTTAAAAAAAAAATATCATTCCGCACGGGAACCGTCCACTGAATGCTTTACGTGGATTCTCTTACTGTGCCATATACAATATCACAAATATGTCCGCCTGCCTCGTTATGACTGCAGTGTATTAGTATCAAGTTAATAACATCGCTCTATGAGAAGAAGACAAATTAGTTTAAACGAACCCATCACTGATTTAGAAGAAAAGACTCAATTCTACTTAAGTCAGCAACGACACTACTGTAACCTTAAGATAAGAAAAAAAATAACAGTCGCCAACTTAATAAAACATATTTCAACTCAACAAAAAGGCGTAATTTACAAGAGACTTTTAAAATGTCTATATTTCACAACTCACGGTTTTTCCACAGATGTTAATTCACTAGCAATACGCAAGCCGTTAGTAACAAATGAGCTGCGGCTTATGTTAAGGATGACGTCTTCTTCCGCGTCCAATGGCTTACGTCAAACCAAAGCGACGCCCTTTGCCCCTGACGTTTAATGTGCTCGCCATCTGGTTTTTTCAAATAGGATCTCTCATATATGAACATTTCCAGGCGTGTGCTTTATGAAAGTATAAAGTGCTTGGTTCTGAAGAATATAGCTGCTGACGCAAGATAATTAAGTCATTTTCTACTTATCCAGTTAAGTCACAACCACTTTACTATTACACACCAGTATTTACGTAATTAGTTTACTTTCTGAAATATTTGTGTTTAGCAATAGCGGAATCAGAAATCATAGTGTGGGTGTGCCGGGAGAAAATCAGGTTGGCCAGACCCATAACTTGCGACAAAATCACACTACACTCAAGTATATATTTTAAATAGTTTTAAACGACCCATGGTCTTACTAGGATCAAATGAACAAAGACAATGAAAAATCTGTTTGCCTCTGAATAGCACTTTTCTTCCGATTGATCTGACCACGCACACACATTCCTGTCAGACATTTTATCTTACTGTATCATTTGCTAGGAGTGCTGAATGGAGTTCCATCTGAGTGGGCCCAGCACCACCTGGACCAACCTGTGCAGCTGCAATAAGTGTGTGGTACCAAGTGAAATCCTAGCAGATACTAAGAACGGCACTTCATTGATCCTTCATGGGGAAATTCTCTTTTTGCCTACCCCATCTTGCTTTCCAAGACACACACACACATATATACTGTAGGTGAGAGCAAGCTTGGCAGTGAAGGGCAGCTACCTGCAGAGGTGCCCATGGAGTTGGGGGTTAAGAGCCTTGATCAAGGGCCCACAGATGTGACTATTCTGTCAAGGTGATCTTCCAATCACAGGCACAGAAGCATAGCCCGCTGAGCCACTCACTGCCCCCAGATGTTATAAAGAAAGCTGTGACCAAATACTTGTACAATGAAGGTAACCAACACCAGACACATTTAACAGCTTTTATGATAGAATAGCCTTTCTCTTAGGCAGCAAACAAAACACAAAGAAGAAATAAAAAGAACAGAAGCATGCTGTCTTTCTAGTTATTTAAATGTAAACTGAAAAGATGGTTAACATATCACTAAATCTTGCAAATTCCTACACACCAGGGGAATTTCTGTGCCACAAGGAGACAGCGGAAGCCAAACCTAAAGTAGAATTTCTAATGAAAGACGCAGCATTTTGCTTCTGCGTGTGCTCAGCCCCAATGGGCACTAACTCTTTCGTACCTGCAGGAACAGGTGGATGATGGCCCACAATGATGGCCAGGTCTTCACAGGTAGCAGGAGCACAAGCTGAACTGTCAGCATGTTGGCATGACTAGACACTTGGACATGCACATGGATTCTATATTTGGAAGTCATCCACCCTTCCTCTCCATTGGTCTGTGAAGGATTGCTTGTATTATTTACACCCGGATCCACAAGTCACATACTCTGGGCCTCTCTGTTATGTAGGCGCACCTGCAACATAACCAAAAAGCCTTTTGAAATGCCCATTTGTTTTTGGGGCAGTTTGTTAAAAAATAACTTAACTTAGATCCAAGTCTGAATATAAAAGCCATATAGAGTCAGATCATCCAAAAGATGCATCATGAGTCCTCATGCAGTGAGTGTGATTCTCAATCTCCATCTGAATAGCAGAAGCTTAAAACAATGCAATTAATCTCCCTTTAACAAAAATCCACCATTTTTGGTTACCTGAAGTGTATTGTAAAGTAAGAAAACCCAGAATTGAAAGGCATTTATTCACAAAATTGAAAATCATTATTTTCTGAGAAATCGGATTCTGTGCAAGTATGAAACTTATTTTATTATTTTAGTTACGATGCGTAAAAAGTACACAAGATTTTATTGTTATGATTATCAATCGTAAAAAATTATATACATTCGGTCTGCAAAAAATGTCTCCGCTAACATAAATCTGAGCCTTAAGTTAAGATGAACCACTGGATGGCAGCAAAAACAGTGCTGGAGCTGCCGACTGAAAAAAATAATAATAATAATCACGGCTAATTAATGTTTCCTTTATTCTGTGTTTGTTTTATCCTTCAACTGAACATTTATCACTCTTTCTAAATAACAAAACAACACTACTTAAAGTGGTGCTCAGTGGAGTATGCCATGCTTTGAATACAGTGTAATTACAAGAGGCCAATGATGTGTTGATTATAATCTCAGTCAAACAGTCGAGTATGGGGAACAGAAGGCGCCATGCGCGTTCCCGCAGTCCGCGCCTCCGCCTGCCGCACGGGGGCGCCCACAGAAAAGCACCGTTCGTGCCGAGGCGCCTCAGAACTGGGCTTTTTGTCCCTCTTTGTTCCGCTGGAAAGTCCTGGCTGAGCGGCTAGCAAGAGCACAACAGACCCGAGCTCCGGGGTAGTTATACAATCACTTCGATCTTCCGGGCCGCTAAGGGAGCCCGGAAAGTGACGGAGAGCTCACGGAGGGGCGCGAGCATCCGAGGTCGCCCGAGGAAGGGGACTCGGTGGGATCGGCCAGGGAGAAGGGCCGCGGGGCTGGGGGCTCCAGGAGGAACAGGGGGCGGGGGGTGTAGCAAAGACGGAGACGCCTGCACGCCGAGCTCGGGGGCTGCAAATCGCCGGAGCCAGCGGGGCGGAGGGGCCGGCGTTGCGGCTGTAGAGTCCTGGCCTTTCTGAGTGGATGGGATGGACCCGGGTCCGTCTGGCGCAGGTGAGTCGGTGACGCTGCCGGTGGTCAGTTCTGAAAGAAGCGGCCGCGTGGATCTGTCGGGTCGCGGGACCCAGGGGTGACGTCGGAGCTCTTCTGGTCCCGACCCAGAGTCAGGCTAGTTTACCCGTGTGTGCCGATTTCACCATGGCTGGTGACTTAACCGTTAATCGGCAGCTTCTAGGGGGACTCGTTACGGGGGTTAGATTAACGACAGTGCTGCAGATCGGGGGGGGGGGGGTCGTGAGAACCTGAGGCACTCAGGCAGAGGTGGTGCCCCCATCCACCCCCTCCGGACCAGCTGCTCACACGCCCACACACACGCCCGTCTGTCTGCACGGCGCTACGCGGCAGCTCCGCCCTGGCATCCCCCTGTAACCCGAGGCTCACCCTGCGAAAGGGTTCGTACCGTAAAGGTGACAGTCCTTCGCTCTAAGAAGCGAGAGGTCGCCTGAAGTTACTGTCGTCTCTCAGTACATCTTAATCTTCTGTTTCGGCAGCGTGTTTCTAGGCGCTGCGCGTGCTGTCCTACACAGGCCACGTCAGTGGTCTCCCCACGTTGGGGTGTCTTGTATAGAGCATTGGTTTAGGAAATCTGTCTTGTTTAAGTGCTGTGAGAGCCCTGACCTAATTGATTGGGTTTCTTTTTTTTTCGGGGGGGTTCATGATGTCAGGAGGGGAGCTGTTTCTTCTTTCTAGGGGGCTTATTCCATCTGCCACGGTGTTCCCGTATGGTGTGTCCCCCTGGGGGAGGGCGGGGAGTGGATGCTTGGTGCTCCTTGGAGTCAGGCAGAGGGAGATCAGATCGCCCGCTCTGATTCATGCTTGGGTTCATCTCACTAAATCACGCCAATTCAAATGGCATAACTGAACAATCCCTGGAGTGGAATGCCGGCAAAGTCGTTGTAAAAATGTCTTACAGTTGATCATTGCACATTTAATTTTGAATTACACCATTGGCGTGTCATGACAAATGTAGTGTAAACATCAGGAGTGTCTCTTGCCTAAAAGTCACTTTCAACTGACTGACATTTTAACAGTAGCCTGTAATGTTGTATATTGGGCATTTTGTAATTTTCCCCAGCCTCTGTTTTCCCAGTATGTTTGTGGTTTTTGGGCTGGAGAGGAAGATGCCAGGCAGGTAGTGTAGTGTCATTGTCACCGAGTGTGTATGTCTGTGTGTGGGTGCGGTCGCTGACCCCCCCTGGGTTTAGGTTGTCCGTCGCTGCTGTTACACCCTTAGTGGTAACGTTGTCGTGTGAAGGTGTTCCCAATGCATAGCATCCAAGCCAACTTTTTTCTCTCACACCAGTCACTGCTAAGCTACATGCATCACCTAGTGTAATTCAAATGGACTGGAAAAATTAGTCAGTACTGAGTGTGTGTGGAGTCTGTGCAGGAAATGATATAAGAAACTGTTCGGCGGGGAATAAGGAAAATCATACTCCCTAAATATGAGTGTTCCGCTTGCAGGGCAGTGTTCAATGTAAGAATATTCCAGAATGTTGTTGTTATGGATGCGTAACCAAAAGCACCCCCCCGAAAGCAGCTGGCGAGATCTGTGCTCGCTTGTGTGGATTTCGTCCTGGTTTATGTCAGCCTCTCTGGGAGGTGGGTCCCACGTCGACCCTGAAGCATTGTTCGCGGCTACTTGCTCTAATTCGCGCCCGTTTAAATACTCAAGTCGTGACAAGGAGAAGTGGCCGGTCTCGTTCGCCAGGTCCGCAGATGTCGCGGCAAATACAGTTGCTGCCACTTGGGGGCACTAGTCATAGGGATTTCCCACATTGGAAAACGATATTACTAATAAAGTGCTGTGCTGAACTGTTTGACGCTTGTTCATTCAAAGTGGCTGTAGTTATGATGAATATTTATTTCAACGTGTTAAATTTTGCTGCTTTCAAATACATGCTCCTTTGACTTTCAGTTACTTTAAATGGGATTCAGATGAGCTTGTGAAAGACTGCAGCGTTTCGGCGAACATGCACGTGTCTTATCACGGCTAGTGAGGAACTACTTTCTGTGTACGTGATGTTATTCATTTTCTCTATTCGTACAGGCAGTTTGTGTTAAACTGCTCTTCAGCTCTGGGTGGTGATATCTATTTCCATTTGATTAGGGGCAGCTGGTAATAAGGTTTTGTACTGTATGTAAGGTCTGTTTGGAAAGACTTCAGATTCTGATTATTCAAGTCAACGCAGTAGTATTGCTATTATCAGGAAGTGTGGGCCCACCACAAATATTATCCTTGGTTACACACATTATGTGTCACACACTTAACCCATTAAATGCCCTCTGGGGGGACGGTCTCCCCCAGCACGGACAGCGAGAGACCCCACAGATGACATTTAAAGCATGTTCTAGCAAGATGTTCTCTCTCTCCTCCAAAGGGTATGTTGTACTATAAAAAGAATCCGTGGCCATGTTGCTAGGGAACGTGATGCAGCACTAACGAAACGCGGTCCATCACGCCGGCTGGAGCCTTCTTTAAAAGGGGCCACCCCATTACGCCGTCTTACCGTTTAATTGGGCCGCGCGCCTTACAGCTCGTCGCGTCCCGTTAGCCCCTGCTATACCTGCCTCTGTCCTGCCAGTGATGCCTCAAATCTCTGTACTGCGCTTTCTCTGCCCCTGGAGTTGCCGTGGCGACAACAGTGCCAGTTATCTATGTTAGATATGTTTGTTTCAACTGAAGACCTGTAAGCGTGTTCAAGGACCCCCCCCCCCCCCTTCCATTTACAGGCTCTTAATTAACCCTAAACATTTTTCCCGAAATAATATTTCCCAGCATCTTCGATCCCTGCCCAGCAAAGCGGTTGGCTGTTGGTCTCACACGTTTGTGATGTGGCCCAGTGCTCTGCATACTAGGGTCACTCTGCCTTTGTTTCTTGATTTTATTGACGGTATTAGCAGTCGCTTAGATGAATTGTACAAATGTCAGTTTTGTAAATTTATTATTGCTACGATTTAAGCTTCACCGGCCCGGCCCGGCCCTCCCCATTCTCCCCCAGCGCAGACGTACTGATCTCCATGACAATGTGCTTCTGTGGCGTCTCCATGGTGAGCCTGAGAATGTTGGGGGGCCCTCGTAGTGCGTGTGAGAGGTGGGCTTCTCTCCCCCTCTGCCACAGCCACTCAGTGCAGGGGCAGCTGGACCCTTTGTTAGCAAGGCGGGAGAAATGGGGGAGTGAAATTAGGATGCAGACACCTCTCCCCCCCCCCCCCCCCCCTCAGCATAGCTCATTCCAGATTTGCTCTCTAAGCTTCTCCTGTGGACAAGCACTTCCTGTTTGATGCCTCGTGTCCTGAATCACGTTCAGAGTGCCTTGGCCGCTCCAGATGAAGTGCTACGTTGTCGTAGCGGCGACACATTATTGTCTTCTGGCATTTTTAATTGAAGTTTACTTGTTTTGAGGTTGGCTTTAGCAGTATATTTAAATTCAGAGTGCTTGGTTATGTAGCACCAGACAGTAGTGGGTCAGACGCTGCATCTGTTCCGCATGGATCTGCTGCCGCCTTCATCCCATCCCCTGCTTTTCTGCATCCCACCCGCCCCACGCTTCCTCTCCTCTTCTGCTCCTCTTGCTTTATCCCTTCTCCTTTCTCTCTCTTCCACCTCGTTTCACTCTGCCCTCTGTCGTTCTCCCCCAGTGCCCATGGGGCCCTTCCCCCCACCCCTGCAGCAGGTGTTCCAGGCACCACGGCGGCCTGGAATGGGCACTGTGGGGAAGCCCATCAAGCTACTGGCCAACTACTTCGAGGTGGAGATCCCCAAGATGGACGTCTACCACTACGAGGTGGACATCAAGCCCGACAAGTGTCCCCGTAGGGTCAACAGGTACCGATTCCTCCTCATCCCAGCCCAGCTCACTGGGATCGTCATGTGCCACTGGTCCTGCACCCTCCATGGGCAAGCAGTGTCATTTCTACCCCTTCATCTCGAGGTGGTATGTTTTACCTGAATGGATACATTCCAGAAAGATCCACGAGGTGTCTGAGCTGTTGAAGAGTGCCATCCTATGTAAAGCTGTATTTTCCAGTCTGTTACATACATTCTCACTGGCCATCTGAGTAGAGGTCACCTAAAAGCTTTAACTGGTTTTATAGAAATACTTTGTTTTTTGTTCCAAAATATCTGTTACGCTGGAAATGGTGCATGCAGTAGCATTTTGCAGAAGCCATGCATTTTTCAAATACAGCTCTGGAAAAAAATGAGAGACCACTCTATAATTTTTTAAAATCTGCATTGTTAAATCCTGGTTTAATCCTGGTTCTGCTGGCAGAGGCTACACTGCGCGGCAGGCTGCTTCCAGGCTCAGTTTCTAAGACGGCAGTACACAAGAATAAAATGAAGCAGGAGACACTGGGAATGACCAAAAACCAGCCAGGTAGAGGGCAGAAGCAGCTGTCTAATGGCAGAGATGACCGTCGACTTATCTGACAGTTTCTCATGAATCGGAGGATGACATCAAGTGACTTTCAAAAGGGATGGGAAACATTAAGTGCAGGTGTGAAGTGCACTGCTAGGACAAGATCGTATCAGGCTCCTAGAAGCAGGACTGATGAACCATAAGTCAAGAAAGAAACCCTTCTTCAAATTAAAAAATGTATATCTTGCACAAGCACACACCCATAAACCGAGTAATGAGTGAAACTGAAAATTTTGCTGTGGTACCTTAATTTTTTTCAGAGCTATATAATGTAGAATTACACCCATCACTGCTGATGTTTTGTTTTTATGGAAAGTTATTTTTTAAAATTTCCATCACCTTTCGATATGTCACGTACAGAACTGAAATACTTCGTTTAGTTAAAAACTTATGGCTGGTGAGAGTTCAGTTATAAGAACAGATGTACAGTCTGTGTTTTTGCTTTCTGACACCTGTTGGATTGCGAAGACGTCGGAATCACTGATGATTACCATCCGTGGATCTTCTAACCACTTATCCTGGCCAGACTCGCGGGGCTGATAAACATGCTGGAAACGACATACAGGGCAGATAGTAGGAGGCTCGGCACGTGTCGCCGTGGAACGTTCACCCGCGCTGAGTGATTTCTCTGCTCCACAGGGAGGTAGTAGAGTACATGGTTCAACACTTCAAGCCACAGCTCTTTGGTGACAGAAAACCAGTGTATGATGGGAAGAAGAACATCTACACGGTGCTGGCTCTGCCCATCGGGAATGAGAAGGTGGGGGTGCTGCTTCTGTCCCGGCTGCTTCTCTTCACCTTCTGGTTGTTGAGCCCCTGTTAGTCAACAAGTAGAGCTTTGTGCTAACAATGCAAAGGGTATGGGTTCAAATCCCAGGGAGCGCACACAGAAAATCTGTAATGTGAGTCGCTTTCCGATAAAAATGTCAGATAACTGGAATTGAGGTCTGCTCTACCCATGTTGTACGTCTTTTTGACATTGTAACTGGTTTACGACTTCCTCCTCTTTGCACCAGTCCTCTGATCTGTCCTGCCACGCATGCGTCTAGGTGGACTTTGAGGTGACCATTCCAGGAGAGGGAAAGGACCGCATCTTCAAGGTGTCCATCCGCTGGCTGGCCGTGGTGTCCTGGCATCTCCTCCAGGAGACGTTGGTGAGCGGGCGCTTGCAGGTGCCCCTGGACTCGGTGCAGGCCCTGGACGTCGCCATGAGGCACCTCGCTTCCATGAGGTACAAGCCTGAGAATCCCTGGGTCAGGGGCTGTGGAGCGAAGGCTGGGCTCAGCTCCAATGTTCGCTGCAGGAATCTAGCCGCCTTGATGTGTGCACACAGTAAAAATTCAGTACAGTGTATGCTTAGCTGACACCTGTATCTGCATGTCGTATATGGTCCTTTCAAATGTACTTAGAGTTTGACTTGGTATTATGGGTAATAAGGAAATAAGCTAATTGCATAATTATAACTGTCCAGTTCCCTTTGAGCCTCATGCTGCCGACTTGATAATTAATCATCGTACGCCGCAAGGCATCTTCTGTACTGTGAATACAGACGCTTCTCGGGTTGTGATGGTCCGTCACACGATATTTTGACTTTACGACGGGTAAATGTTTTTCAGTTTCAGTAACTTGCATGAGATATTCAATACTTCATGATTATAAAATAGACTCTGTGTTAATAATTTTGCCCAACTGTAGGCTAATGTAAGTGTTCTAAGCATGTTTAAGGGAGCCAAGGTTGGCTATGATGTTTGTTAGGTTAGGTGTACTATATTAGAATGCATTTTCGCCTTAGGATATTTTCGACTCGCAAGACGTTTATCGGAACGCAACCCCTTTGTAACCTGGGGAGAGGCTGTACGCTCTCTAGAGTGCTGTAGAAGATAGTGACTTTGGTATGGAGAGCGACCAACCTTAAGCCTAAGCAGACAATGGGTTTAAATGGACAAGCTCCTCTTTGACAGGGTTCCTTTTAATTGTTTGCTCAGGTACACCCCAGTTGGACGCTCCTTCTTTTCTCCACCGGAGGGCTACTACCACCCCCTGGGAGGAGGGAGGGAGGTGTGGTTCGGGTTCCACCAGTCCGTGCGGCCCGCCATGTGGAAGATGATGCTCAACATTGACGGTGAGGAAGCAGTTTGGCCACAAGCTTATAGGTCAGAGTAACTGTGACTCTTCGCAGATCATTGCCCACAGCACTGAAACACAACCTATGAATGATCATTAGCACACAGATGGGTGAGTTTGGGTGATGTCTCACTGGCCAACCAGAACCTGAGTAGAGCTGTATGAATCCATAGTAAATTGTACGGCACGTGTATCTTGACATGCCCTATATCAGGAGGGAGACACATGTCATCTTCAGACTGATTTGAGGTTCCAGCTGGGCCATTTCTGACATTTCCACGAGAAGCCCATACTCACCTCCGTGTCTGCTTATGCTCCAGTGTCTGCCACGGCCTTCTACAAAGCACAGCCGGTGATCGAGTTCATGTGCGAGGTCCTGGACATCCGCAACATTGACGAGCAGCCCAAAACGCTGACGGACTCCCAGAGGGTCCGCTTCACCAAGGAGATCAAAGGTACGCTTCTTGGCAGCGAGCTGCTGACCCCCCCGGTTCAACACGCTTTCTCCTCACCATCTCCTTGCACGGTTGTTTCCTGCCTTACGATCCTGTGTGTGTTTGTCTGTGCGCGTGTGCGATTCAGGCCTCAAGGTGGAGGTGACGCACTGTGGCCAGATGAAGAGGAAATACCGCGTGTGTAACGTCACCCGCCGGCCCGCCAGCCACCAAACGTGAGTGTCAAGACTCCGGGCGACATCATTGGATAACCTTGTACCTTCACAAATGAAATGTGCGAGTAAAGGCTGATTGGTGCTCCTGCTTCGAGCCTATGCTGTGACCACTCGCGTAGCCTCTGCAGATTAAACCAACTTGTGGCGTTCCTGAGCCGCTCGGCAGGTTCATGCCTGAACGCCAGTCGGCGGTGTTCACTTTGCAGCACACAAGCAAAGCAGAAGAATGGGTTCCATAAATGAATATTATGTGTATTGATATTAGTGAACCTCAAATAACGTGATCTGCCTCGAAGCAGAAGGCAAAGGAATGCTGGTATGTAAGAGCAGCGGACACGATTGGGCGCGGCGAGGGGAACGTTTTCTGTGCGAGAGAGACGGATGAGGAGATGCATTTCAGGGACACCGGCAGACCCTGCTCTCAGACCCCAAGCTTCGCTCTTGGTGGTATTTAGCAGGGAAGATGGGATGTGTGAAAAGAGGAAGCATTCCAGTTTACCTGTGCAAACGGCAAATAGTGGTGTTTAACTTCCAATTTTTTTTTTTTTTTTATGAATGTCAACAGGTAGATTTTATTATTCGGTTTGTCGAGCAGACCAATCAGAATCGTCGGGGTTCATGTCGACGTGACGCATCGTTACATTTTTGGGGATTTGGGGTGGTGTATCTCAGCCTATGCTGTCGCTATTGCCGTAGGCTTGACGTAGAAACAGGTTGAGCCTGTGTAAAATGGGTGGGAACATTATCGTTTCAACGGAATTGGGATGTAGTGCTTTTAGCTCCTCCCCCTAGTCCTCCGTCCGCCTTCCTAGCTACCATTGTCCCAGGGGTTGAAGTCCTGTAGATGTTTGACCTCTCACCTCACCCAATACAGGTTTCCTCTTCAGCTCGAGAGCGGCCAAACTGTAGAATGTACGGTAGCCCAGTACTTCAAGCAGAAGTACAACCTGCAACTCAAGTACCCCCACCTGCCCTGCTTGCAGGTGGGCCAAGAGCAGAAGCACACCTACCTGCCCCTGGAGGTAAGGCTTGCTGGGGCGGTTCACTGGCCGATTCCCCAGTATGGCTGCTGGCCCACGTCGGCGTAGTCTGACTGGCTCCCGTCCCTCCAGGTGTGTAACATTGTGGCGGGGCAGCGCTGCATCAAGAAACTGACAGATAATCAGACCTCCACCATGATCAAAGCCACAGCGCGCTCTGCACCTGACAGACAGGAGGAGATAAGCAGGCTGGTGAGTGGTGCTGCCATC